GTATATATTCAATATTGATAAAAGTGTACAATATATAGGTTCAACATATTCTATACAAGGAAATACAATCATCCTAATAATGAAATTAATCAAAACTACAAGAAAATACAATCATCCTCATAATGAAATTAATAAAAAATATAAGGAAAGATAATATTATAATAATCATGATAATAAGGAAATAAAATCAAAATTATCATTTAATAGAAGGTTAGATAAAGTAATAAACCTGCAATTTGTTGGGATTTTAGGGTTTATGGAAGTTTACAATAAGAAAAAGAGTAAGCAACATTTTCCCACCCAAGGTTTGGTGAATGAGTAATACTAGTCTTACAAAGAGGCATACAAATTTTAAGGGCTGAATTTGTCTCTTTGTATGCCTCTTTGTAAGGCTAGTATTACTCTTGGTGAATATACAAGTTCCCACCCCTGGTTTCATAAATTGCAAACTCTCACTCTTAAATTAACATCGTTACTTTTTTCTTAAAATAACGCCTACATCTCAAATTTATCTCAAATAACCCCCAGAGGATCCCGGCCAAGCCAAGAATTTGACTTGATTCCGACACCATTAGACCTCCCCGACACCACCATCAGGATCCCCTCATCCTCCTCATCAAAACCCCTAATTTTTCCACCCGATTGCACCTCGGTGAGGTGCTAGAATTTGGCTGGAAAGGTGCGACAAAATGTGAAAACTTAAAGGAGAGGCGGGCAATTGCGGTTGGCGATGTTGGAGGTTTTGATTTTCTTTGGGGGGGGAGGGGGGGGGGGGGGGGGGGGGGGGGGGGGGGGGGGGGGGGGGGGGGGGGGGGGGGGGGGGGGGGGGGGGGGGGGGGGGGGGTCGGTGATGCTATTGGTGGTGTTGGGGGTGGTTTCTAGTGTCGGGACTTGTCGGAATTTGGATTAAACGCCGACTGAAACTAAGAGCGGTGACTGGCGATTAAGGGGTTCAATCAGGCGGGGAGGTTAGGGGTTTTGATGTGGGGGTTGAGGGGATTGTAATGGTGGTGTCGGGAGAGGTCGACTGCGTTGGGAATAGGCCAAAATGGCCTGAAATCGCTAGTGGAGTGAATTTGAGAAGTCAAGGGTTATTTTAAAATTTTTCAATGGAGTGAATTTGAGAAGTAAAGGGTTATTTTGAAATAATCATTTTACCCTTTTAGCTGTTAGATTAAATAGTCATCTGTTAATCTAAGGGTGTGAATTTGCAATTTATGAAACCAAGGGTGGGAACTTGTAGATTCGCTAAACCTTGGGTGGGAAAATGTCGTTTACTCTAAGAAAAAATTTCAAAATGTTGTAAAAAAGGTCTTTTCTTAAATTTTTCATATCATGGAATGAAAGGGAGGGGACTATATATAGCAATCACCCCCTTCATATTTACATCCCCCAACCTTCTCAAAGTTACAAAAGACGGTGGGTGACCACCTTTTTTACAGCACAAAATTGGGTCAATAAAATTTGTAGTAATTAACAATGAAAGAATATTATAATACATATAAATATACTTAAATGTAAAAAGGATATAAGTTATCATAAGTATCATTTACTTTGATCAAGAAAACCACGGTTAAATAAGGTCCACAACGCATGGTATGGTGAGAAGTGACAACTCATAAATCAACCAACCCCTAGGTGGTTAAGTAGTTAGATAGAAACTCTTAGGTATATTACTCAAGAGGTCCTGAGTTCGAGTCCTTCCTCAATTGTTAATAGGGCTGACCATTGGAACTCTTACCCGACCGATAGTTCTAGAGTCCCGAGAGATTAGTTAAAGAGTGCGTAAGTTAACCCAGATACCACCGGTGATTAAAAAACAAAAACAAAAAAGACAACTCATAAATCATTCACATGCACACGCCACACTGTAATGTTGCCTTTAATTATTAGAGATGTAAATGAATTAAGTACTGTTTTATATTAAGCCAAAGAATGAGCAACTGATAAGCTTTTGCTATGAAAAGGGCGTTTCTTAAGCCATAATTAATGTAATATCATTATTTAGGGATAATATTATAGAGGATAAACATTTATTCTAAAACAAATTTAGAGGACATAAATTTTAAAAACTACATTTAGAGAACACTTAATGTGAAATTTTAGGGATATTAATTGAAATTACCAAAAGTTGGGGGTTTTAGTAATTGTCCACTTTTTCAAGCATGTACCTTTTAATCCAAATAACACAATTGTCATTATCCCTAACCTTACACCGAGGTAACAGTCATTGAAATCTTTTGTTTTATTTCTTTGTTCAATAAAAATATATTACTGGAATTATGGAGAAATTAATCATACAACATGATGAATCTGAACTTGAAGAAAACAAGTATGTTTCAAATTTTAAGTTGGGGAAAAGAGTTGTAAATATATAAATAAAAAAATAATTAAAATTAAAATTGGGGAAAAGGGATGGAAAAGAAAGAGTAGTTAGGTTTGAAATTGGGGATAGGGATAAAAAAAAAAAAAAAAAAAAAAACCAGTTAAGCTTATAGTGTTATTTTTGGCATTAAATAGGGTTTAAAGAGATTTATTTTAAACATAAAAGAGGTGTATTCAGCAACGAGGATATTGATGAATTATATGGAAGCTACATATGGCTTCCCATTTTCAAATAAAGTGTCTTAAGAAGTGGAGTTTCTTGAGAAATTATATAAAATGACCCTATTTTAGGGGTGGAGTTGAAAAGTAGCATTTTTTGAAAACTCTCTTTCAAAATAGCAAAATGGCATTTTACACAATGTAAAGGATGAAAATGCCCTCATATTTAAATAAACCTTAACCCATTCACCCATCTTCTGTAAAGTTAAACTAATCCTTCCTCCCATTGAAGAATTTGAAAACCCAAGCTATAAGCCGATTCTTATTGGGTTTTGTGTTTAAGAAACATGTTAATTAGGATTTTTTATGTAGATGGATAGTTAATATTGGTTGTTTAGGTTAAATTTTAACTAAGAATGTTGTAAATATTTTTTTTTTTGATGTTTTTAATGAAACCTAGGACTGCTATTGGAAGGTATCTCAGCCCAAGGTTGAAGAAGATGAATAGTGTTGGATACCGTCATATAAAAGTGGAGTAATGCTACATTTACACTACTCTTTTACACCATTTTTATTACATCATGATGTGGCATATGCCACAACCACACAAATTTTATTATAATATTAAAATAATAAAATTTGTGTGGTTGTGACATATGCCACATCATGATGTAATAAAAATGATGTAAAAGAGTGGTGTAAATGTAGCATTATTCATAAAAGTGGGGGGTTTGGGGGTTGGACAATATTAAAATACCCCTCTATGAAAATTAAAATACTCCTCTATGAAAATTAGTATCCCCCCTATAGTCTTATTAGACATCTAATACCCCTCTATGAAAATTATTATCCCCCCCTATAGTCTTATTAGACATCTAATACCCCTCTATGAAAATTATTATCCCCCCCTATAGTCTTATTAGACATCTAATACCCTCTATTGGATGATATCAAACAATTTTTGTCTTCTCCAACCTTGGGTTGAAAAAGTGGCCGATACCACCAATACCCTCCAATAGGCAATCCCAAATTTCGTCAAAAACATCAAAATTCTTCGATTTTCAACATCCCAACCTAAAGATTAACCCAAATAACCAACATTAACCACCCATTTGTGTAAATATTTTTTGATTCGGTAGGGATTGTAAAGGTTGAGATGGGTTAGATGGATTTTAAGGGTTGAACCGTTGAAGAATGTGTTCTGGTTAAAGGTTTAAAAATTTGTAAATAAGGTATTTTCGTTCATTAAAATTGTGTATAATGCTATTTTGCTATGATGCGAGAAAGTACAACTCTTCAACTTTTAACGCTAAAATAATGTCATTTAATATAATTTTGCCACTTTCTTTGTTTCAAACGAACCCAATAACCGCTAGAAAATGAAAATCTATCTTGGGCCATTATATCATGTGTTGGATTCCATGTAAAACCTATGAGCATGGCCCAAAGTTTTGTTTCTTTCCATCTCAAAAACGGAAAAACCCCAAAACCCCCAAACCCCAAAGCCACAGCCAGCAACTGATAGCAAGAGCTGAAAATTAATGGCATCGGACAAGAAAGGCGTGGGTTTGTCGTTTCTTGATTCTCTTGCGGACGAACCTCCTCCTCCTTCCCCTCCTCCTCCTCCGTGNGGTATCCCAGCCCAAGGTTGAAGAAGATGAAAAGTGTTCGATACCGTCATATAAAAGTGGGGGGTTTGGGGGTTGGACAATATTAAAATACCCCTCTATGAAAATTAAAATACTCCTCTATGAAAATTAGTATCCCCCCTATAGTCTTATTAGACATCTAATACCCCTCTATGAAAATTATTATCCCCCCCTATAGTCTTATTAGACATCTAATACCCCTCTATGAAAATTATTATCCCCCCCTATAGTCTTATTAGACATCTAATACCCTCTATTGGATGATATCAAACAATTTTTGTCTTCTCCAACCTTGGGTTGAAAAAGTGGCCGATACCACCAATACCCTCCAATAGGCAATCCCAAATTTCGTCAAAAACATCAAAATTCTTCGATTTTCAACATCCCAACCTAAAGATTAACCCAAATAACCAACATTAACCACCCATTTGTGTAAATATTTTTTGATTCGGTAGGGATTGTAAAGGTTGAGATGGGTTAGATGGATTTTAAGGGTTGAACCGTTGAAGAATGTGTTCTGGTTAAAGGTTTAAAAATTTGTAAATAAGGTATTTTCGTTCATTAAAATTGTGTATAATGCTATTTTGCTATGATGCGAGAAAGTACAACTCTTCAACTTTTAACGCTAAAATAATGTCATTTAATATAATTTTGCCACTTTCTTTGTTTCAAACGAACCCAATAACCGCTAGAAAATGAAAATCTATCTTGGGCCATTATATCATGTGTTGGATTCCATGTAAAACCTATGAGCATGGCCCAAAGTTTTGTTTCTTTCCATCTCAAAAACGGAAAAACCCCAAAACCCCCAAACCCCAAAGCCACAGCCAGCAACTGATAGCAAGAGCTGAAAATTAATGGCATCGGACAAGAAAGGCGTGGGTTTGTCGTTTCTTGATTCTCTTGCGGACGAACCTCCTCCTCCTTCCCCTCCTCCTCCTCCTTGCATCGAAGTACTTTCCTCTCAGGTATCTCTTATTATCTTTCCATTCACTACTTATGCATCTTCTTTTGTTCTATTATGAGTCATACATTTCCTCTTTTTAATATTTATTTATTTATTGTTATTATTATTTTTCTTTTTTATGCCAAGTAGGTTTCGTCATCTGTCAAGTGCACTCTGGAGCCAGTCAACATAAGTGATGAACTCACTTTGCTCAAGGTATCAATCAATGTTTGTAATAAGTTTCACAATTACACTAAGAATGAATTCGAAATATTTTCTTTACATTTAAGTTGGATTTCTTGCATTGCCTGGAAATATCTGAAATTTTGATTAGTAGGTTTTTTTTTTTTTTTTTTTTTTTTAAATAATTTTTAAAGCCAAAATAATGTTCAGTAAAATGCAGGTTGACATAACAATTCTCAAAGTTTATCGGAAACATTCATGATATTCTAAAATTTGGCATGAACATCATATTATAAAATTTTATAAAAAGAAAAACCTACAGGGATGTTTGTAGGGAGGCTATTATCCGGAACCGAATTGGTCTGGTCATGATTAGGCCTTTCCTTAGGAACAGGATGAAATTTATCCAATTGTGGAAAGATAATATCTAAACTATATTTTGATTTTCTGTTAGGGCCGAGTGAGCACTAAAGAGGTTTTTGGGTTGCCTAACTCCGATTTAGTTCCTGGGGTATACGAAGGTGCATAATCTACTACTTTTAGCTTTTGTTTCTTTGTTTCTTTGTTTCTTTGCTAATTTTATGTAATTCTTTAATAGCAGTTTACTGTCTTCTCTATGTTCTTGGAACATTTTTATTTTTGTTAATGTTGGATGAGTGCACTCATTTGCTAAAAAAATATGTTTTTGGGGTAGGGGGACTGAAGTTATGGGAAGGTTCTCTGGATCTTGTTAAAGCTCTATGCTCGGATGCTGAAAATGGGAATATATCATTTACTGGAAAGCGTGTTTTAGAGGTGGGCTTGTAATTTCAGGTATTTTTAAACTGTTCAACAATTCATAGTTCTCTTGATACTTGGCATGATAAGATTTCATTGATTTTGAAAACTCTAATTCTTGTTTACTGTAACTTATGCAAAATGGGATTCCCTTTTAGAATCTGAATGCCCTGAAAATCTGTTGTTGTGTGCTTTACTACATCTAATAATTTCTATGTGGGTGAGCAATATAATTGTAAGGGCTAGAATATGAATATTGGGATTCAAGGCTTATAGAATTTTGACTGTCAACTACAGAGCTGGTCAAGGTACAGTGTGATACTTATAATATCAACGTCAATGAAGAGTTGGGATCATATATTAATATAATTTTCACACATGTTTGTGCTGTGTAAGTTGCCTATTAAAATTGCAAAGATGTTAGTGACCATGATTATTTATTTATTTTTTTTTTTTCAAATGCATGATCTTTAATTTTGAAGTTACCATCTAGTTCAATTTAATTTGGTCAACAAGTTGTTTATCTAATTAGATTGAGAATTTAAATCCAAAGCTTATCTTATTGATTCCTTTAACAGTTCAACTTGTGCCAGATTATGCCACTTCATAGGTGGATAAAATCCTGTAAGTTTAATAGAACTTAAATTGGCATGTCACATTTATGTCTATTTGATATTAAACTTTGAATTCTGAACAATTCGGTCACTTAACAGGGTTCGTTTTTCTATGGAATTTAACAAATCTTCGATACAAAGAAGAATTAATTTTTGAATATCTTCATGGTGAAGAAACCATACATCTCACATCAAATCATTGTTTCCTGATTGATTCCTGTTTGAACCATGGTATATACTGAATCAGATTCTACTATAATGGCTTATCTTTCCTTAATTTTAATCAGTGAAATTCATCTAATTGTTTCCAGCTTGGATGTGGTCATGGTATTCCTGGGATCTTTACTTGCCATGAGGTAAAAATGTGTTGTACTGTCTACAACTGGATTTTTGAAAATCTATAATTTTATTTAGCTTCTTGTTTTGTTGTATTAGGGTGCAGCTGTCATACATTTCCAAGACTTCAATGCTGAAGTTCTGCGTTTTCTCACTATTCCTAATGTAAATGCCAACCTTTCCAAGAAGCTTCAGCCTGCTGCTGCAAATGAAGCAAATCATGATACTGGAGTAGAAGTGCGCTTCTTTGCTGGTGACTGGAGTCAAATCCATGAACTTCTACCTTGTGTAAATGACAATGAAAAGGATCTGAACAGCTCAGGGCAGAGTCCAACTTCTGGTTATGATATTATATTGATGGCAGAGACTATCTACTCAATCTCTGCTCATCAAAATCTCTATGGACTTATAAAAAAGGTGTTGCTTAATGGTGTATATATTTCCTTTTTAATGAAAGAATTATTCCTTTTTATTGCAAATTGCCATTCTTGAGTTGTAAAAATGTTTATATTGCAGTGCGTCAGCCGTCCTCATGGAGTTGTGTACATGGCAGCAAAGAAACATTATTTTGGAGTAGGTGGCGGAACACGACAATTCATGTCTATGGTGGAGAAAGATGGTGAGCTTATCCTTCTGAGATATATTTGCAAAAGTTGTTGGGAGACATAACTGTGTTTTATTACCTCCCTTTTGTTGACAGGGGAACAAGCAGTTGAACATTTCAATATATCACATAAATGCATGAAAGTAGCTCTCTTTGTTTCCGTAGGCGTAATCTTGTCTTGTGAAAACACACTTTCTCTTCAACTAGGATACTTTTTCATGTCATGCATGTACTTGGCGACAAATAAGTCTTGTTATGTGTCTGTGCATATTATGCTATCCTTGATATTGTGTGCAAGTATAGAATACACATTGAACGTATCATTCATTTTTACTGATATTTATGGTCTCAGATGGGATAATTGTATGCAGTGACGGCAATCCTATAAGTTGTCCTTTTTATTTTTTTTTGCAGGTTTTATGGCTGCGTGCCTGGTTGCTGAAGTGGCAGATGGTTCTTCTAATGTCAGAGAGGTATGGAAGCTTTCAATTAAGTAGTGCTTGAACTTTGTTTACTACATGATCCTTGTATTTGTTGAGTCAACTAGTGGCTCCTTGGCATTCCATTTGAGGATCACATTCTGAAGTTGTTACTTTATCTGTACTGTATGAAAGTGAGTATTCCATAATTTGATAAAAGGTATCTCCTATGTATTTCGTTGTTCCCATGTACTTCTTTCCTTTTCTGGTCTGTTACTTTTGATAAACTATTGTTTCATTTTCATATGCTAGAATTGTACAATTGAATTTTTGTAACTTGTGTTAAGTAGTAGTATGATTTCACGTTGCATCTTCTATATTGGATTGTGGTTTTTATATCTTTATTTATTTTATTTTCATGAATTGGACAGATATGTGCTAGTATGATTTTAATCATTGGTCTCATACAATTTTGATTGATCCTGTTATTATTTATTTTTGCTGTACGATTTGAAATATGTACTTGAAATTGAATATTATTGGAGTTTTGGAAGACCAACAATGAATGGGAATATATTTACTACAGCATCTTAGCTATGTTTAGTATTTATTTGCAAGCCTGACCTAGAATATGGTTAAACTATATTACTAGGCTGCAAGATGACCTGATTTTTTTGTATGAGATTTACTTCTTTTAAAGGATCTACTGATCCCTTCAATTAAATTGTGTTTTAGGAATGATGGTGATTGTAAAGAAATATTGACAAAACTATATTGACAGAAGAATATTACTAAACTGAATCAAATCGATCAGTTATTTGTTGGTTTGATTCTCGTACATGATTTGTACTTGGTTTGGTTCTTGAGGGAAAAAAAAAATTTCAGTTTGGCTCGATTCTACCAGAAAATGAAGCAGACTGATTTGGTCCACCCCTAATTGAAAGCATGGAGAGATTTATGACAAGAAGTTTTTGTTTAAGAGAAAATCTTTGATGGGACGGGTGTAAATATCATCAATATATTCATTCATTAAGATTCCATCATCTGTACATTTATTTGAAAGTTGACTAATCCTTGTTGTTAGTTTGAGGGAAAAACAAAATTAAATTAATAAGTGATAGGATGTTATCGGAGAGGCATATAGATAACGTCCGTCTGTGTTATTGAAAACTTTTTCTCGGCTTAATGTTTCAGGTGGTGTAACATTAACCCTCGACATAGTTAAACATAAACTAAGGCAATTGAAGTGGTCTTCAAAAAATATGGAAGACCTTTATATTTTAGATGAATGGCTGTGACTTTATTGTGAGTATATGGGTCTTATTTTTTTTATAATTATGACAAAGATTCGTAGTCAGTATTCTCTGTAGTCATGGATCAACATAGTGGAACTGGAGCCTTATAGAAAGTCGTTTGTTTGGAGTTCTTAAATTCCTTTCACTTGTGCAAAAAATAGTACTAAGATGTAGTACTTTTTATAGCGCACTGGTTCACTCTCTGAAAGGATTTTGTTTCTGAAATGTCAGGAAAAATTTAGACATGGTTTGTTTTTTCGAGTCAAATTGAAACAGTATAATGTAATTAGTAGAAAATAGTGTTCGATTACTCATTCAAATAAAAGTTACTCTGTAGAGAAAGCATATATATGTTGTTTTTAAGTAAATTTTTTATTTCATGTAATTTAATGGGAATATGTTCTGAGTTTCTCTCTTATTCATTTTATATAGGTTTTTTAATAAAACAAAAATCAAACATCTTTTCTCATGACACGTAATAGATTTATGTAGAACTGGTTCAACTGTCACCGAACCAATACTTGTTATCACATGCAAGAGAATCAGGGAGAAAAAAAAACATGTCGATCATAACATAAATATGAAATTAAGATCTATAGTAATCATGGCTTAGATAATATATAGATTAAATTAAAAACAGAAACCCTTTTCAACCCAGAAAACAAAAACATAGAAGAGAGAAACAGAGTGAATCACGAGTTAGACCTGCAGCGATAGTATGCAGGGCAACCTCGATTTGCCGGGTTGGATGGAGGAGGAAGACAGCCTCCGCTTTTACTATAAGCCTCGCCTCTACTGCCGCCGTTGCAAACTGGCTGGTCTGGCTTTAGAGCTCCGGGTGTTATGTATCTCTTTCGTGCAAGAACCCTTCTAGTGATTTCAGAGTCCATCAACATCTCAAGATCTTCATTGCACTCTGCAATTGATTTGTTGCATATATTGCTTTTTGTTGTTGTTGTTGTTATTGTTGCAGCTTTGGTGAGAAGCAGAAGCAATAGGCATGTGAGTAGAAAAAAGCTGAGACGAAGACACAGAATTTTAGGCTTTGTTTCCATTGTTTAATGGATTTCAATGGGTTCCCACTTGAAATGAAAGTAGTTTATATAGAAGAGTATGATGAAAAATTGTCTTTCTTAAAATGTTGTAGTGGAAGTCGCATTAGAGAGGGACCACACTTTCACCTAACCAATTCTATTGCTTTCTGAGTTGGGGAAATTAATGGACCACTCTTCATGTTTTGCTTTTTATATCATTCTCTTTTAATTTTCATATGTAAAAAGTCAGACTTCAATTATCGTTCATTAATTTCATTTTTCCTTATATTTCGATTTGTTAACTCCAATATGTAAAACACAAAGTAATAATTCAATTAATATTTTGAATCATAATGAAAAGAAAACAAATCAGAAATTTATGCTGTTTATAGTTTATAAATATGGTCTACGAACCCTTTTTTTACTAAGAGACATGTTTATTTATTTATTATTTTGTTTAAGGGAGAACGAGGTTTGGTGAAATGCCACTTTTCTACTTATAAAATTTCAAAATGGCATTTTTTCATCTGTCAAGTTTTATAATGATACTATTTAAAATTATCAGTTAACTTTAACTGAAAAAGGCAGAATAGTAAATTGATTATTGGATTATTAGTTAATTCTTTGAGCAATGGACTAATCCAATAACATTACAGTACTTATTTTTGTTGAGTAATACTAAGTTTATAAAGAGGCATATAAAGAGTCAAATCCAGTCCTTGAAATTTATGATTGTCTCTTTCTTTCTCTCTTTTTCTCTTCTTTTAAAGGCTGGATTTGATTCTTTGTATAACTCTTTGTATACCTCTTTACAAGACTAGTATTACTCATTTTTGTTAGAGTTTGTATATTCTTCTCTATATCTCATTTCCTTCCGTTGATGTCATCAGTGAGTGATGTGACTTGCTTCTAGATTCGATGACTTTTGAACAAATCCCTACAAGTAGATAGGCTTTTTTATTTGAGAGATAAAAGGCTCTTTGATTTCTGAAAAGTATTATATATCTCCCTATTAGAGGGTTTTGATACTATTTTAGGGGGTAAATGATAATATAATAATTGACGGAGATACATATTATTTTCACAAAATTAGGGGGGTTGATGAGAAAAACTCCAAATAGATATGTTATAACTAGAGACTTATTTTGTTGACGTGAAGTTAGTTTACATTTGGATTTTTTCCATGATGAACGCCTTGATTGTTGTTTGACTACTTGACTATCAAATTAACTTTTCCCTCCAGATTTTAATGAATACTACTCAACTATCAAAACGAATGTTACATTTATGTTATCCTATTTAGATTAAAAAATAGGATATATGTTTGATTACTTATTAATTTGGGTCGAAGACCCAAAAAATCTTGTCGTCAAGATCTGTGGTCGGAAATGGCCATATCAGTGTATAACGGCCATTTCCAGCCTTCCGTGCATCTTAGGTTGTGGCGGCGGCGACTGGCCGCTGGCTGACAATGACATGTGGGTGGTGGTGGTGGTGGCTTGGGTGGGTTGCAATTTGTTTTGAATTTAAGAGTAGTTTTGTTCAAAAAGTTAATTAATTGGGGTAAAATTATAAAAGCCAAATTCATGTAAATTGATTTTAAAACAAATGCATTATTCTCCAAAAATTTTATTAATAAGAGATTAAATTGTAACAGAAATAAAATAACCAAATAATCTTACAATACCTAAGAAAGTGGAGATCATCAGATTACGTTCAATATTACCAACAATAACTACTATTGATATTGGAAAATTACCGAAATCTTATATTACTTGATAACAAAACGTGATAATCAAGTAATATAAGATGACGTAACCTTAGTAAACTTATATAACCCCCAACCAAACGCCCCTTAGCGATAGTCTCGAGCTAGTACAAAGTGAAGGCAATTACATGGGTATACAACACCACATTGCTTTTGGAATCCTCTAAATTATATGGAGTAGAAGAATCACTAAGATCTGACATAGAACAACTGTGCTTCTTCTAGGTTTTAACAGGCAAAAACGATTGTTATGCCTAAAAAATCAGGGCTGACGTAAGCTTATATCAGCAAGCACCAATCAGAGTTCAGGAAGACTTTGATCCATCTAGGAGCTGCCATGTCACCCCAAGATAGAGAGAATACGACTGTCACCAACCCAGCAGATTCAAGCTTTGTCTATGAGTGAATGAAGATTGCACACCTGTCCAAGCCCTAGATAATTTGAGGATATTTCCTAAGTTATCAGCCAATAGGAGGCAAGGAAGGACTTGCAGGACACCTACCCACTTGCAGACTTATAATCATTACCTTGAATTCAACAACTATAAATAGAGGACTCCTCCTCACAAATTCGAGATCGATCATTCTCTGATTTTCATAACAATCAATAGCAAAGACAACCTACGAGAAAGAGACTTGCTTAATATTCTCTCTGAATATAGTCATTAACCTCTGTTTGCTGTTCGCTCTATGCGACCTCATGTAAACACATTTATATAAAAGAAATAGTGAATGTAGGAATCGCTGTAAGCATCTGAACCACTATAAAAATCATGTGTCTTATTTATTATTTAGTCTTTGCATTCAATAGCATTTATAACCTTGTCCTAGTTCTTAAATCAATTAATCATGTGTAATTTATAAGACTCTTTTAGCACTTTGCACGTGCGAGGTCGTTGATGTCAAAATCAAGCATCAATAGTTTGGTGCTAGAAGGAGGGCTAGATTTCACATCAACTCTTCATCCAGTATTTCTAATCAATTAGTTCTATCTGCGAACTCATGGCTCGAGGTCTTGAAATCGAGTGTGCTAGCACCAACAACGAGGAGACCCCCCGAGTGCAGGATGTTACTCCTCCCGAAGTACCTTTAGTTACCCAAAGTACTACGGTGGGCATCCCTTTGACCTCTCAGCTAGATCCGACTACAATGGATTACTTGGAAAGGTTCAACAATATCTTCCAAACGGTTAGCTGAAGGTTAGATCGTTTGGATTAGGTTGTGCTGCCTAATTCTGATAAGGCGGTGCCACCTACAAAAACATTTGTAGGTCGTGCTAAAACATGGAAATGAGCAAAAACTCGTACCATGCGCACTACAGCGCGCAAAGACAATGGAAAGCAAAAGGCTCAGCATGGGCTAAAGGTCTCTAAAGGGCTAGCGAATATTGGTCGCGAGACAAGGAAAATACTTGTAGCTTTGCAACTTGGCAGTATGTCGCATCATGAGCCATCTCATGCCACATCGCAAGGGCACCCCACAAGAGTGCTCGGCAAGGAGATTCCCATTATCGTCGAAATAATGGTTCCGACCATCACCACGAGGGAAATACCCATTGTCCGTGGGTCAATTCTGACCACCGTGGAGGTAGGAAGAACTCCCCAAGCCATTCAGTGCCTTCACGTGGCTCCAGCTAGCATGTGTCAAGGTATGCCAAAGGCTCCGGGCAAGGCAGGGAAAAGTATGATTTGTGGTCTTTCCTTGATCACAATCATTTAGAGCGTACCTATATAAAGGAAAGCGATCCCCAGATGGCTCTGTTTCCTCAGATAGAGGAGTTACAACAAGCTCTGGATTGGCTTAAAGCTCAGCAGAATGAGAGGGGCATGTCGCAAAGACGTCTCCCTTTTCTCCAGCAGTTCTCACTACTCCTCTCCCATTAAGACTTAGGATGCCCGACATGCGAGCATTCAATGATTCTGATCCGCAAGATCACTTCTATGAGTTTAACGACCTCATGGAGCTTTACCAAGTTTCTAGCTTGGCGAAATGTCACTGCTTAGTAGTGACTCTGACTGCCCACGCCAAACGTTGGTTCAAATTGCTTCTACCAGGGTCTATCAACTTGTGGCAGCAGATGAGTTCATTATTTTTAAGGCACTTCCGAGCCAATAGGAGTTTTCAATGCCGTTGAGTTATCTCAGAAACATACGGCAGGAGAAGAATGATTCCCTCCAGTCTTAAATTGACATGTTCCACAGAGAGCTTAATAAGATGGCTAATACACTCGAAGATTCAGTTTGAACTCTAATTATTGCTGGAGTTTGCCTGCAAACCGACATGTGGAAGAAATTGTAATCTAAGGACGATATTTCCCTCACTTGCTTCTATAACCTCATAGAGAAATATATGAGAATAGAGAATTCAGTGGCAGCTTTAAACTACCAAGACCTGGGCCTTTGACCAACGCTCTCAATCGGAAAGGAGAAAAACCGGGGAGAGAGTAGTAGAAGATCTGATCGCAAGTTCGCTAATGACGATTAGAGAAAGGGAAAGAAACAATAGTTTGAGCCCAGAAAATCCTATGCCCAAGTTTCTCATTGCGATCGCGACCAGAATTTATATACTCCACTCAATGCATTGGTTTCAACTATTCTAGACAAGTTAGAAGAAGCTAATATGTTTGGAGAGCCAGAGCCCATGAAAAATCCCCCTTTTAAAAGAAATAACAAGAAATATTTCCGTTATCATTGGGATAATGGGCACCATATCGATGAGTGTCGAGCTCTTAAGCAGGCTATTGAAGACCTTATTCAAAAAGGGCACTTCAAGGAGTATGTTGATAGTCTAATTCCCTTTCGAGAGAAGGATCAAGAGGGCTATGGGAAGAAGCGTCGTGGTCGCAAAAGCCTACATCTGGTAGGAATTATATTTAGGGGACCGCATATTGCGGGGAACTTTCGAGGTGCTCAAGAGAAGTACGCTTGAGAAGCTCAGCATGAGCTCGTGAGTATCCTAAATAAGGCACTGCAACCTAGCAAGTTTCACAGAGAAGAGGAGATTACCTTCTCTAAAAATGACACAGTATGACTGCATCACTCTCATGAGGATGCACTCATGATTACGATTGAAATAGAAGGTGCAAAGTCCATAGAGTGTTGGTGGATAATGGGAGCGCCGTGAGTATCCCATTTTAGTGAGCATTCGAGGAAATGTAGTTAGAGAAGATGGATCTGAAGTTGTCTCCATTCCTCTTTATGGTTTTACTGGGGATCATCTGATTCTGAGGGGAATAATTACACTTCTTGTCACT